CAAATATACACTCTGTGCAATCTGAGTAAACTAAGAGATGATTAGAGGTTTATCTTATACAGGTGGAAGAAAAGATAATCAATCAATAAAAAAAGAATAAAGTTGAAACACATTAACAAATGCAGCATTTTGGTGCTGCATAACAATAAAGAAAGGCTTGACTTCATAAACCTTTGAATGCATATCTTTTTATTCTGTCTTATTGAGAGACGATATTTAGAAAATGGACTTTTAATTAAACACTAAATTGCTACCATCTGAAGTACAGTGCAATGAACCTGCTGTCATCTCTTCATTAATCAGGACCAAGATGTTCTGCTCTCAGAATGCACCTTGTTAATTATACAAGCGCCAACAAATTACAGTCCTCTGTGTTACTCATTCATCCTTGTGAGTTATCACAAATGAGTTGCTTTTTTTCTTGGTTTGGCTTTATCACTGATTTACACATGAGAGCTCACAAACTCTTTGTTAGTGCCATACGTTCATCAGCACTGAGAGAACAGCACAAAGGATGATCAATAGTCACATGCCTGGCTGCTTTCACACTCTATTTGGGGACCGGAGTGTGTGGCATTTATTTTTGTTCTCTCAGATGTCTTACTTTGATCTAAAACGGTTCATTTATTTTCACAGGTGAAGTGCAATAGTAATAAAGTGCTGATGAGTGAAAAAGAATTAGGTGCTTTTGATGTGAAACAAGAGATTTCTCTATGTTGTTTTTGAAAAAAATCAGGGTTCACTAATGTCCCTTCACTCTGTAAGACAGCTATGTGATTTCATACAAAGTACCTTCATTGTATGACTGAATGTTTTTGTTACATTTTAGATTTTTATTTCCAGCTCTTCCTGTTTCACTTGAGGAGAAAAACAGACTACTGGGAATATCAATTTAGTGACACCATAGGCTCCACTTTTTGCAGTAATCTTCACTGCAGTATTAATATTTGAACACAATGAAATGGAAAATAGGCTCAATTATTTACATAGTGTATGACTAACATGAAAATTTTCTTTAATTGTTAAATAATAACAGGCAACACTGTTGAAACAACAGTATGTGAAACCAAAAAGGAGGCGACTCTCACCCTTCTTGACTTCAATTTGACTCCATTCTTTTAGACTACTTGGTTAAGGCTATCCCACATACTTAAATTAACCACGGGTCCAATTCCTAGCAGCAGTGAATCCATACAAGAATTTCCATGTACCTATTCATAAAATACCTAAGGGTCTTTTATAATGAGCAGCTTATTGTTTACTTATATGGATGGCTGACACAGTAATCACTGTTTGCTATTGTTTTACTCGCTATGTGTATGTACATCACTCTGCATCCAATCATTGGTAAATTGATATTATATATATATATATATATATGACTTTCTTCTACCTGTCTCTTGTCTTAACCCAGTATAACGGCCAAATATGTAATGTAACGTGCCAGTCCAATGTGTGTATGTATCGCTTTGCCTCTCCAAAGTGTGAAATGGACCTGCATGCAGAAGTTCCAGTAAGCTACAGTACCAAAAGAGGGAGATATTTCATGTCGAAGAGACATTACTAATACATTTACATGTAAATACATACCTATCTTAATCATTTGTAAGAGGACCCTGGAATGTACTTCATACCTTCCTTGATCACTACTAACTTCTTGGCTTTAAATATATTACCTCCTCCTGCTGGAAGGGCAACTTCTGCATGTATATTCATTTCAAGCTTTGGAAAGGCAAAGTGTGACATGTACACATTGAAGTGGCGTGTCTGATACACTCTTTGCCATGATATTGGGTTGTTTGTTCTGTTTCCCTCCCCACAAGAAACATTAAATAAAGAACTGAAAAAAACTGAGCCATGTTGGCCATTATTAAACTATGATTCCTCTCTCTGCAAATAACATTTTTAATTATCATTCCTAGTGCTATTAGCAAAGTCATACACCATTTCAGGTCACTGAATGAATGTAAATTAGTGTCAAATCATTTATATGAAAGAGATTTGACTTGAGGTTCCAGAATTTTTAAGTTTGTGACTCCATCAAAAAGGGCCAGTGCCTGGGCCTCTATTTATACACACTTATGTATGACAGCCTCTCAGTTTGAACTCATCAACCCATGCATGGGAACTAATGAGCTGAACTAGTGTGCCCAACTTGTGGGTTTGTCCGAAGCCAAATATGAAAAGCTTTCCTAATATTTGGATTAAAGGCTATATTGCATTTTTCAGATTGTTTTTTTTTTTTTTTAAATGAAACAGTTCATAGATTTTTTTAATGCCTCTTAAAGTTAGTTTTCCCTTTTTGGTTGACCTACTTATGATTCATGCCGTCACTACTTGGAATTGTTAGACAGCTTGCCTATGGATTTTGCTTATTGCTTCCACTTGCACTTGTGCTACAACCAGCTGATTACAGGTTATGTGCTGGAGGAGGAAAATAGTGGCGCAGTCTGCAGCGTGGATATGACAATTGTTTTTATTTTTATTGCACAAATGGACGAGAGCATGGTGGTTAAGTGGAAACTGAAATAGCTGCATTATGCTGCAAAAAAAAAAAAACAACCCAAAAAACGTTAGCTTTGCAAGCATCTGCATAGAAAGCATGCTAACGCTAGCCAAAGTGATGTTAAAGCTGAGCCCAGCCCAGCAACCAGACCCTGAACTTCAGCTTGTAAAGTTCAGGTTCTGGTTGCTGGACTGTTTCTACCTGTTCATGTTTCTAAAGTAATATGACATTAGTGATCACTTTAAAGTTTCTTTTTGGTGGTATTAATCTTTCGTTTGTGCTGTTGTCTTTTTTTTATTATCCCTAAATACTAAAGGAAAGATCATATGTGTGTCCACGGGATAGGGATTTATGTTGGTGTATGAGAATGTAGCCTATGGGTTTTATATTGTTAAATGGTAAATATAAGACAATGTCTTTCATGTCAAGACAATCATTTACTAAATGTAACAAATTATTTTTGCCTGGAAGTAATTAAGTATGTAATTAAGTGTACTTTATTACAGAAAAATGTGTAATATGTTTTTTTGAGTAATGACCCCAACATCAATCACAGCAAAGAGGGGAAATACTTCCAACATGCACAAATATTTGACCACACAGCACACAAATAATTTGGATCAATGTAATACCTTTGATATGTTGGCTTGTGATGATGGTGACTCTCAAGGCAGAGTCAATGAGAATCAATGAGAATCAATAAAGAATTGAATATGTGATGCAATCGGAATCGTTAAATTCTTATCAGTTACCATCCCCAAGCAAACAGATACTCTCATCAGTTGTTCTCTTGGGAAGAGCTGCTGAACAACTTGTTAAAGCAAATATTTCATCACCCATCAATGTGCCAAAAACACAAAACATTTAGGCATGTTGATATGGTCAAGATGACCAAAGATGAAGCTCAAACAGAGCTTTAGGATGGGGAAGAAAAAAAGAAAATTTCAATTACTTATCCAACATTTAGATGGTAGGGTCAAAATTTGACACTTTGAGCCCCTTAGCACCAAACAAGTGTCTTTTAGTGCTACAGCCTACCCGAGTATTGCTGCTCATAGTGTGTTTGTCTGCCCAACATTTAATTGAATGAGAATATAAAAATGGGAAAAGATTTTGTATAATATGTTAATTTTATTACACATATAGAATAGCAACACCTTTTAAGGACAACTTAGAGTAGGTATTTCAGTCCATCTATAGTGTTTCATATGTTGTCTTTTATATTATTACTGAATCCTTAAAGTACAAAGTCCACTTCATTATGATAAGCCTTCTATTGTAGCTACATAAAAAAAGAGCTTGGTGCATTACATAAATTATTGTTTATTTTTTCTGTTCTTCCTTCTCTTCTTTGGTGTCTTCATCCTTTCTTTTTTCATCTCCTCCTTCATCTGTTTTTTCCTCTTCCTGCTTTTCTTCATCTTCTTTTGTCATCTCAATCTTTTCCCCTTCTTCTACTTTTTCCCCTTCTTCCTTTTTCTCTTCTTCTACCTTTTCCTCTTCCCTTTTCTCCCCACCCCCCTCTTTCTCTTCCTTTTTATCTTCTCCTTCTTCCTCATCTTCTTCTACCTCCTCTCCAGTTAAGCGCTCAAGATCTTTAATACGATGTTTTAAAGTTTTGTCTGCATTTTCGTAATTTCGTAAGATCTTCTTCAGCTTGACTTGCATCAGGTCCATGGTACCATACAATTTGTTTACCTTCTCCTCCAGCTCTTTTTGCTCAGGTTTGATGTTAGCTGGATCCAAGTCTATAAGACCATCTTTCATCAGGATCTGCCGACCCTTATCCTCAAGCATGCCTTTGGCATCTGGATACTCTGACAGTGATTCCATCAGGTCATCCTTGGAAAGGCAGAAGAGCTCTGAGTATCCAATGCTGCGAATGTTGGCGGTCCGCCTGTTACCCGCTTTGCTACCTTTAATATTAAGAATACTAATCTCACCAAAATAGCTGCCGCTTCCGAGTACAACAAATTGTGTCACACCATCATCGGCAACGACTGCCAATTTTCCATCTTTGATAATATACATCTCACGACCAATGTCGCCTTTCTTACAGATATAATCTCCAGGGCTGAACACCTGTGGCCGGAGTTTGAGCACCAGCTCAATCAGCAGGCCTGCCTCACAGTCTGCAAAAATCCGAACTTTCTTTAGTGTCTCCATGTGGACTTGGATGGCTATTTCTGCTTTTAGCTTGTCTGGGAGATACCTCAGCACTTCTCTTTCATCCTGTGCCTTGCCATTATTCCACAGATAGTCAAACCACTTGATGACTCGCAACTCTAGGTCCTTACTAACCTTTCGAACCTGCAAATGAAAAGAAAGCAAGAGGATTAAAATAATATTTAAATACTAGATTATTTTACTACATATTTTGATCTAGACTTTTTTGATCAATGTTTATTTACCTGCATGTACTGCTTAATGTTGTCAATGCGGGCCTGGAACTGGGCTTGGGCTGCATTCATGTTGGAGATCATGGTGGCAATGTTTCCCACAATGGTGGCAAAGATTAGGACTCCAACTAAAAAATCCACAACATGGAAGAGAAATTCTGAGTCCAAAGCTGGTGGTGGGGTTTCTCCGATAGTTGTCAGAGTCAGTGTGGACCAGTACAGGCTGAAAGCATACTTCCTCATGGGCTGTCCAAACTCAGGCTCCTCAGGATCATCCAGAGCAGGGTAAACCCAGTCATCAGCACCAAATCCAATAGATTTGGAAAAAGAGAAATACCAGCAGGCATTCCAGTGGATGATAATAAGGATGTACATGATAAGGTTTGCAATACGGAAGATGTTGGGGTAGTTGGTTTTAGTCTCTGTTTTGGTAAAGAACTCCATCATGCGCCCAATCCTCAGAAGCTTGTTTATGCGGATCTCTGGGTAGTCGATGCCAAGGACGAAGTAGAAGATGTCAGTGGGCAGCATGGAGAGAACATCGAGACGAAACTGAAAGCTGCTGATGTATCGATCCAAAAGCAGCTTCTTATCTTTCACTAGTAGTCCTTGTTCAAGGTAACCTGCAGTTGAAAGACATAGTGTTTACCATTTACAGGGACATTGTGTTTTTAAATACTATATGGAATTAATTGTTCCCTTCTACTGCAACAATCACCTTTTAATTGCACACAGGATCACTGTTCAAACTGTAATTATTAGCAGCTTTAAGATTTGTAGTTGGTGGTGTAAATAATGCTCTAGATATCTTATAGTAAAGCAGTTTCAACAAGTCTTTTTTTTCCCCTGTTGATCAGAGTACAAAAATTATATCCAGAAAGGGAATTCATGTTAGAAAGGGATGTTTTCTAACATGAATTCAGCTGAAGGCTTCAGCAGTACAAATTTCCATTTTGTGTCTTGCTGGATGATAGTTGATTGCTGTGCTGCAGTAGAGAGACAGAACCACACCATCACTTACATATAACATGACCAGGAGAAACGATGATATCACTGGCCACTCATTTTATCTGTGTAAGTCTAATTATTGTTTTAAGGAAAACTATATCACATTTTGAAAATATTTCTGCAGAATGGTAAGGTTAGTCTTTCACCTGTTCTGGCCCTGAAGCACATATCAGCCAGGTAGATAAGGTCTGAGGTGTAGTCCAGAATAACCCAGTAAATTATGTAGTCATGCTGCAACTCCTCAAAGCAAGCCCTGTTTGCAAGAGAAGATGACCACCAGCAGTGAGGGTGGTTTGTAAATTAACAATGTTGAATATCTCAGCACTATGTCCTGTTGTGCTACTGTTGCACCCCATTAACCCAGTAGTCTGTACTAACAGAAAAAAAGACAATACAATGTTAAAAAACACAACTTCTCCCTTTAACAAAAAAAAAAAACTATTTCTGTGCATGAAAGCAAACTGCAGCTAAAAGTAGTTTTAATGAAGTAGGATATTAAAAACAAACAAACAAATCATGTAAATATTTGACCTTTAGTGATGGAAGAATGACTGATTTATCAAGGTCACCTGGCTATGATCATGGTCCAATTATACATCACTGGTAGCGTAATGATAAACAGCCAGTTGTAATACAAATTTCCAGCAGGATTAATGACAAATATTTCTGCTGGCCTGTGGAGGAAAGAATGAAAGTGTAAAATAAATACTCAAAATCATACAACACATAAATTTATTTGGAAGTTTCTGTAAATTATGTACTTACTTATCTTTGTCCTTGCTCTTGTCTTTCTCTTTTTCTTTCTCCTTTTCTTTTTCTTTTTCTTTCTCCTTTTCTTTTTCTTTTTCTTTCTCCTTTTCTTTTTCTTTTTCTTTCTCCTTTTCTTTTTCTTTTTCTTCCTCCTCCTTCTTCTCCTTCTCCTTTTTTCTGTAATGTGCAATAATAAATTAGAGACTACTGAGCACCGGTTATCCTTAATAACATAGTAACATTTCCTAAAAGGTGAGGAGATAAAAATCAATACTCTTTCTTTTCCTTCTTTTCCTTCTTCTCCTTTTTCCTTTTTTTCTTTTTCTCTCTGAAAAAAATGATTAATGCAACATGTTTAACGTGATTACAGGAATCTAAGCCTTTACTTTTTTCATGACCACAAATTATACTTACTCTTCATTGTTGTTGTTATTGTTCATGTTGCCTATATGAAGAGGCGTTGATTGAGGTGAACTTCTGAAACAAACACAGCACATTTTATTAACTGACAAATCTTTGCTTTTTTGTCATTATTATTCTTTGTGTATTTATATTTAAGTTTTGCTCACATGTCATCGTCACTGTCACTGGTAAAGTGAGGTGGAACATAAGGTGGCAAGGTGAGCAAGGCCTGGGTGGTAGTGGCCATTGCAGCAGAACTGTAGTATACTCTGCAGCAATAAAATATTTTTCAGGATGACAACTTCAGACTAGAATTTAAGTACTGTTGGGTTCTAAATTGGTCTTTTAGCAGTGCATAAATTTACACATATTTTAAACTGAAACTGGACGTATTTTGGCAGTTGTTTGATCACCTAGTTTTAAAAGAAAAAAAACATGAAAAATATATCTGCTTTTTGATTTATCATAGGAACTTTTATGATTATAGGTCTTTTGTCTAACCAACAGTATAGGATTATACTGTTGGTCAGACAAAAGAAGATATCGCTTTGATCTTGAGGAACTTGTTGTACAATTTCACCTTGTGATAGCACAGAGATAATTACTAGTGGCATCCCTGTGCATATTTTAAGAAAGTTTTGATTTGATGTTTTCTTTTTATTAGAAAAACAGCAACCCATGGAATTAGAAATGTGTTGTGCTGTCAAAACTTGTTTACTGAATGAATAAATAACTAAATAAATACAATTCTTACATATGTAATATATATATATATATATATATATGTGTGTGTGTGTGTGTGTGTGTGTGTGTGTGTGTAAATATATATGTATCAATCCATTTAAAAAAAAAAAAAAGATTTTACTGTCTTCATCTGCATCATGTGTCATTTATATCCAATGTTGCTATTGCATTTGTAGTGTCAGTCTCAGCTGGTAAGCACATTGTTTTACAGGTCTAAATGAATTATTTAGCCATACACATAGATGATGCTACAAAAAGAACTTACAGTATCGTGTGACTAAACTTACCTTTTCCGATCCTTAATGTAATTTAAAGTCCATTTCCCTTTAGTTGTGTACTTTCCTGGAACCTAGACACTCACAGTATCTACAGATTTATTGTATCATCAATCACTGAATGCTATTTAATAATGTATAACAACATGTAGCTAGGCAACTAACACCTGTAGGTACTGAGTCCATCTAACTGTGTCATAGAGTCTCAGTGACCCTGATGAGGATTTGGGGATTAGACTTGTCTGAGGAGAGTGGAGGCAAAGTCAATCATCCTCCCTGCTTGTCCACTCCAGCGGGAGATGAGATACATTTAAGTGAAGTTTCGACAAGCCTCAGTTAACCTCCTACTCAGGATCCACAACACTGAAAACCATTATGTGTTGACATTGTTTTTAAAATTCAGCAACAAGCTATAATTTTCCTGATCATTTGCGGAACAAAGGATTTGGTCTGCTTGCACACACACACACACACACACACGCTTACACGCACTCTAACTCACACACACACACACACTACTCCTGCTCAGTCAGCACTCTTCTCCATATCCTCCTTTAATCCTATTAGATCATGTCCAGTAGAACAGATTCCAGATCAGGCTTAAAAGAACAATAATGTCTCGTGTGAAATCAAAGCAGAACCTCTATCGGTGAATAACGTGTACGGGAGTATACTGTAGAAATCCTGTGGTTCAGTGGCTCTCCCTGTTGGCTGATGTGGTGTTTGCAGTTTTATGACAGCAAATTTCACAGTTTGCATTTGAGCTGAAGTATCTTTGCAGGAGTTTAATGTCCTTTCATTTGTTTTGGTTTAGTGTTGAAATAAGTCTAAATGGAGATGACAATGTGTGATTTTGATGTGTTCATGTCACTGATGAAACTCAGGGGAACATTGACTAGAAGGAAACACTGTTGAGGTAACAGTGGCACACAACAAGATAAAGATCGTATACACAAAATACTGATATGTTATTTTTTTGGCACTTTAATGGTTTAATACTGTGGACAGTACAGCAAAACAATAAAACATAAGATAATCCTCAACCATTTATACAATGTGTTGATGAGTAAGAATAAACTTTCAAGTACAGAACTACAGAAAAAGAGAAAAACCACAAACAAAAAAACCCTTTTTAGATTAGGTCTGAAAACACATTTTGGTTATTCTCTTTACAAAGTGTTAATTTTTTTCCCAAAACATTTTTTTAGTCTCTTTTAACTACATCACCTGTAGCTGTTTTCAGCTTTTGTTCCATTTGCTAACAGAGGAGTATTGTTGCTGGTGATGAGAGGCAGATTACAGTGCAGCGGGATCTGCTGGCCCTCCTGTCATGTTAGCCTCACCGACATCAGTGGCACGGGCGTCAACCTCAGCTGGGACATCAGCAGCAGCAAGTATATCGGCCGTGGCAGGGGCAGCTGGATCAACGGCCACCTCAGGGGCTGCTGGGGCACTGTCAACAGGAACTACATCAACAGGAGGTACATCCACAGCAGCAGCATCATCAACTGGAGCAACATCTATGGGGACGTCAACTACAGCTGGCTCTACCGCTGCAGGGTTTGCTGAAGGCTCTGCTGAAGGCTCTGCTTCAACCATGGCTGGGTCGGCCTCAGCTGCATCCACCTCCTCGGCCTCCTCTACCTCATCAGAGTTCAGCGGGGCTCGTCCTGCAGCTTTGGTGGCAGGGTTACCATCCTGTGCCAAAGAAATGGGAAAAAATCATGTCATATCTGTGTTGACAACAAATGATGAATTATTGAAGTTAGCTGCTTCATGTTCACGGTTTATGCTTGTGACGCTGTCATATTTAAAGTTATTGTTTGAACTAATGTTCCAGCAAAATGTGTAACAGTCTGTGTTTCTTTGGCTTGTCAGAGTGTTGTGTGTCCTGAATGCGTCCTTTTCTTGTTTTAGCTCTCTGTTTTAACAGTGTTTGCACGTAGCGTCTACCGCCGTTGTCAATTTAGTTAAATTTATTTATTAAGGTCTCTGAGGAAAATTGAGAAAAGCCTCAATTTATTCTACAATGGAATGTGTTTGTTCTACATGCATTACAAGTTTTACCCAGTTTGTTTTTAGCTCTACACTTAGGCTATTCTTAAACCAATCCATTGTGGACAGAGAAGTAGTTGTTGTGAATAAACAAGATACGAGCAAATATTAGTAAATATTTCTCTAAACAGGGAGGAAAATGTACACATGAATTTCTCAATAACAATCAATATACAGTTCAGCATGAAACTATGATGCCTGAGCACCTCTGTTTCCTCCTCTGAAGCATCTCCAACAGGGACGGGAGCTGGAGGAGGGACGTCAGCAGGCTGGGCTGGTGCTGCATCCACCTATATTAAATGTATATAGTCTATATTATTAGTTGTAATAATAATATATATAACAGGAAATAAATGTGTATATGCAATGTCACAGTGCTGTGTGTATGCTCACAGTGGCCCCAGCTGAGACAGCCTGAAAGAACATAATTTTATGTCAGATTGCAAATAAGTAACACACAAACTTCAGCAATCATGCCAAATACTCTTATTTTTAGTTTTCACAAAAATCCACCACTAAGCTCCTGTAAGAGGCTAACAAGAGTAAACTTACAGGCAAATTAGCAGAGGGAATGAAGGGATTTTGGACTACTCCCTAAAAGAAGAAAAAACAATAATAGGAATTAAAACAGATTTATAATCATAAATGAGCATTCATGGAAGGTCTATCTGAAGTTCTTTTTTACTTCAAATATCAATGAACCCCCATTACCTGCTGCTGGTACAGCCTGTACATCTCCATCCACCTCAGGGCTTCATTAGCATGTGCTGCAATCTGCAAATAAATACCAGACATCTTCAGACATGCGGTGCAATTAAGCCAATTATATCCTGTCTGTCAGACAACAATCATAGTGCCCAACTGACGGCATGACAAAAACATAGCATTACATGTCATAGCAGACGGATCCAACACTCAAAACAGAAAAGTTGAAAAGGCCATCTTACCTCACTGCTTTCGCTCGCTGGAGCCTGCAATTTCAGAAATAGAAGTGAGCAAACAACAGTTAGATGTGGATAACTGTGTTTTAAAATGGTATCAGATGACAGATTTAATAATACACAATATTAGACTTACAGGGGCAGCGAGAGTAGAGACCAAGAGGCACATGAAGAAAACAAGCTGCTTCATTTTGACAGTTTCAGTAGAAAAACCTGTATAATATAACATACAACCCAGACTTTCATCTCAATTTTTCTTAATTGTCTTTTCTGAATGGGGGGGGGGAGTTTAAGAAAATCAAGAGAGAAATAGTTTAAAAAAATGATATTAAAAATATTTGTGAAGACAACAAAGTTGCCCAAAGAAATGAGAAATTGTTTCTGTTTGTAAAGTCACCTTACCTTGTTGTCCTGCAGAGAAACTGTGAAAAAGAACCTCAGTAGAAAGAAGTCTACTTGTTGTCCCTCATGGATGCAATTTATATACTGCTATATCACGTAGCAGCCAATCCCATCCAGTAAAACAGGCACACCTATATGTTTGAAGAATTATCCTTACGTGTCAAAGGTAAAAAAAAAAAAAAAGAGGTATCTAGGGTTGAGGCCCCTGTTGTTGTTAATTACATGCTATACAAGTATGCTTAGCACACATGCCCACCTTTACTGCCCTAAAACCAAACTTTGAAAAAAAACAAAAAAAAAACAGAGAGAGACGCCATGAAGTAGACATAAGCATGTAATGATATGACAGAGAGTCCCTACTTAGTTTGACTTGAAAACAGTGAAAAGGAAAATCAAGAAGTTAAATATCTGCAATATCTTATTACTCAAAATAATGTAAGTACTGGTGATAGCTACAGAAACATGAAATACAGTGTTGATCCTCCTCGCTTGAACAGAGGTTATAAGAACATCTACTCAAGTATTGCACTTTTTCAGCTCTTTCTTTTAGCTTAGCATTTTAAAGGGTGGGGTATTTAAAAGTATGTATGTATGTAAAGGCTGGTTAGCCTTTACATACATTTTTCTAATAATCTGTTTTAGTCTAAGAAAGAATTCTGACCCTATGTAAAATACCCTCTGCAATGGGGTATTTTACACTGTATGTATTACAACAATTGTGTGACTTAAGTTAAACAACTGCATATTTTTTCTCAATTGAACACCACATTTCACACAAGTATTCCAAAGATTATTTTCATCTACTGAAACTTACAGTGGGTGTAAGTGCCAGTGGGAAACACCACTTCTGTAGTGTCTGAGTTTTAACTAAATGTGTTTGCTTTAACTGGCGTGGCTGTTCATCACAGTGATTTTAAACATTATAGCTCACTTATGTTTATTTTTTCAGGTTCCAGATCAGATAATGAAGGAGTTGGTCTGTAATTTGCTGAACTCTATACTATTCTGACCTCCAATCTGCTGAGCTAATCAACTTTGTCAAAAGATAACAATCTCTTTATTAGTCATTTAAAAGTTAACAGTTGATATCGTGCCATGTAGTTAGATTATTCCTGTTTTCTCCTTTGAAGAAAAATTGCAGTTATAAAAATGTGGTTACAATGTGATCACCTGTTCCAACAGGAATACTGAACTTTTAACTCTCAAACTATGCTTTGTTTCAGAAGGCTACATTGTTGCTTTGACAAACAAATGCTTTAATTCTTTTTATTTCTTACAGAACAACATCAAAAGCAACAGAACAAAATAAAGCTTTTTTTTCTTTCTTTTTTTTTTAGGTTTTTACTTACTTTTAGTAAAAATCTAAAAGTGTGACTTGCATCAAAGGTCTACAAAGCCTCTAATAGCAGTGAACCTCATAACTGGGTGTGGCTCACTTAAGGTAAACCGTCATAAAGAACCTCGTTCAATTCACTGGAGTAAAGTGTTCTAAACATTTTTCAATGACTAGCATGAAACAGATCCTCTTCCAGCTTTATAAAAGTCTATAGAAATGCAACCCTTCAGCTCCCTTCAGTGAGCATTTTCCTGACAAGTGATGCAACCCTAGTTTCAAGTCTTAAGGTATACAAGCAGCAATGGTTGCTTTGCTTTGCGACTGCAACCTCATCTCACAGTCACTTGAATTTATAGTTAAGCCCTTGAAGCTGCTGCAGTATTCTCCTGAACGATAGTTGTCACCACTCAGACAATATCTTAAACATAAGTGCTGATAAAGGAGGAGAACTTAAAACAGGAAGCCAAGACTGTGCCTGTTGCAAAGTTTTTTCCACAAAATCCACAAAACAAGTTTTCAAAGTGTTCCAACATCTCCGTCTGTATATCTATGTGTCTTCTGAGCTTCTGTACACGATTGTACACTTGAGTTTTTAACCTTTCTGTGGCAGCTCCAGCACAATGCTTACAAAAATCAAATGTGCACGTCCGGCCACAAAGATTGTGTCGTGCAACACATGTTGTGATGTCAAAATGGGTATGCAACACCTGTGACACAAGAAACATGGCGATCATAATGGGGCCATTAGATTCCAGTCACATTGGCCTAGAGACCAGTTGGTGACCCCCTGGCAACTACTAGTGTCTAGGGAAAAATGTGTATTCCCTAATTAGTTGGTCATCTGATTATGGCTTTAGTTTCAGTACTTGGGGGGCCATCTTGGGGGGCATCACTGCAGCTTCCCAGTCTCATTATCAAACAACAAAGACACAGGATTGGTGATTCATGTATCTGTATATTTTTTGTGTGTTTCAGGTGCTGTATGTTTGTTTTGTTTTGTTTTTTGTGTATTACAGGTACCAAAGCTGGCAATACATACAATGCAATACAATACTAGAGATTCTATGTAGCTGTTCTTGTTAAAGCAAAATGTGCTCGGTACCATCATGCATTCAGATTCTAATTGCAAAGCTAGCATATAGAACAGCATTAAAAAAAACCCCTGTATTTTCAGAGGTCCAGTTGCAGGACAACAACAACAACAAACACGATGATCCTATAGAATATGGTGTATTGTTGTAGATTAAACTATGCACCAGTATATAAAGAATTTAAAATGAGCTAAACCTCAAACATCTGCAGTGGTAAAACCCAACATGGACATTAAAGCATCAGTAATGTGAATCCATTCACATCATATATAACTGTAAAACACTAAAAAGGGGACTTTTTGGCTTGAATTACAGTTCCAGGAAAGAATATTTTGAAGAAGAGACAGTAATAGCGTGAGAGGCCAATGTCTGCATTTCTGATGTGCCTCTGAAGAGGTAAGTGTTCAGTCATGTTGGGACAGGCTTTTGTCCCCAGGTGAGCCAAGATCAGGGAGATTGTTCCCTCTCCTGTAATGTTTTTTACTTCCTTAAGACAATTACGTTTCACAGTGGGGAAATTTTGCCACCAACAGTGAAAATTCATGTCTTCTGCGTGATAAACTATAGTAGTGTCTTACATAAAGCACTTAGATGGTGTTTATAATGTATGTGCTATGTTGCAGAACTAAACAAGGATTTTTATACAAGCTGTGATCAAAACCTCTGGAAATTGTGTTATAAAAGATCAAAAGTCTGACTCATTTTAACCATGGCTGATCTCCTATTCGATAATCTTCACAGGCATGTGCAGAATTACTGTGGTGTAGGTGTTATACTTAAATTGCACTTTGAATGCTGAGCTCTGCAGTTTAATTGTGGAACTTAAAGGTAAGCAAAGAGCAAACATTATCTTCTGTTTCAAAGGGACCCGTGTGAAGATTCAAGTTTTCAGTCAAAGTGACCACAGTTTCCAAGCTCAAAGCCATTGCCAGAGGTGAGAAGTAAGACTGGGAGGCGGATGCTGTTTTCTCAGCATTCATGCGGTTCTACACATTTTGGCTCCCTCTAACTTTGCGTACACTTATGTCCACAAGTACAAGAAAATGTAATGTGACTGAAGATCTAAAAAATTATACCACCGATGCTGAAATCATCGGTAGTATAAAAACATTTTTGTCGGTTAATTTTGAACAAATTTAAATTTTATTTATTTATTTTTATATAAATTATACATATATAAGATTGCATATTTATATTTTTTATAAACATAACTTAATTCATCAGAAAATATTATTTTTAGGCTGATAATGCTAGAGTATTTTCTGGTAAAATAGCTCATGTGATGCCAAGTAATATTAAGTCTTAAACATACCAAACATACCAAACTCAGCAAACTGAAATCAAGCAATAATATTTATAGATGAATTTGGTTTATTCCATTCAGGAATACATCTAAACTCTAAAATAGACATATTTTTTTATGTCTTTTATCATTTATAATCATGCTTTTCTTATCACTTGTTGCATTTTTCATTGTTCATACATTCTGAGATTCGTTTTCAACACCAATTTCAATGTAAGAGTTCAGTTCAAATAATCAATTTCAAGTTTAATGTTTATGTTAGATGTTTCTAGCAACACAGTTATAGAAATAGAGTTGCTGCTGATACCCAAACCTTTGGTATTTATTTAAATGTACTGAAGAGATATGACTGTAAGTAAAAAAATAATAATTCCAAGGTTTATAGAAGTCTTTGAGAAAGGAACCAAGTTTTGCTGTGTAGAGGCTGTTGTATGTGACAAGTGAGATATTTTTTTTCTCACCTGACAGAAGACCTGAGGCACTAACTAGGGCAAGGTCTTTATAGAGCAAGGTCTTTATAGGACAAGGTATGAAATGTACTTTTGAATGGCACCACAGTTAAAGTCAAACTGATATTTGATAATCCACCTGGCTTTGTAATAGTGTAATGTTAAATCACAAGTTAAATCCTAAAGGAAAAATAACATTATTTTTACTCTATGTATATTTTAATCAAAAAAACAAAACAAAGCAGATCTACAAGTGTTTAAATAATGAGTAAAAGTATCAAAATTTGCTTCAAAAAGTAGACTTTATTTATTCAAAGAAAATGAATAAAAGGAAAAGTTAGAACGAAGTAATTAAAGTATGATGAAAATTCAGCATCACATTGCGTCTGCAGTTCTATAACAGGTTATTGTTAATGTGGGGAAATGACAAGAGGAATAAAAGAGTGCTTCAGGAATATGTCTTATTTTATGCAGATTATCCTATTACTCTTTAGTTTAATAATGTTGTAATTTCTTAATAAAGAAGTGTTATTTATAACATTTGTGGGTGGGGTTTTAACTTATGTTAGCACTTTCGGAAACAACATCACTGACAATTTCTTCCAATGCTGATTTCTGAATGTTCACATGTTTACACCTTTGCTGGCATCTGTAAAGACAAATGAGCAGTTTCATATCAGCATTGTTAAATTCATACACATTTCAAACAGTGTTCCCTTGTTTTTAAAGATGCTTTATGAGGACCGATCTGTTGATTGGTTACCTGGCTTGTCTGTATGGGCTGATCCTGCAGGTGCAATTTTGGGGGGTCCTGGGATGGAAGAGCATTAGCGTCAAATTGCGGAATCTGGAAAAAAAGAAAATAAAAAAAAAACACCTACTTTACCAAAACATGGAGATACACAGTCAATATAATTAGCTTCTTCAAAACATAATGAGATTATATTATTTGCTACTGTATTTTCTCACGTTCATATTTTGCTGGGGAATGTTTTGTGGTGGATATTCAAATGGGAGAACCTGTGGGGAAACAAGTATAATGGTAAATAAACAAACATGATTTTAAACATAAACAACCAAAATACACATGGGGTAAATAGAATAACTAAAATCTTACTTCTGGCACTATGGGGCCTTTTGTCATTGGGGGGAAGTTTGGGATTATCTGTAATAAAATTATATATTGTATTTAGTCCCATTATATATAGAAATATACAAACATTAGTTCATATTTTCAAATTTTAAATTAATATCTAAGAGTTCAAAATTCTTACCCTTTGCTGAGCAAAGTCATATGCATAGAACTGGAATTGTAAAAACACAAGACACAAAAAAGTTCAAGAAAGCAGTTAAAACACTTTTCCTGGGCCAAAAGTTTCCATAATCTGCAACAGGAAAGAGAAATGACTTACTACTTCAACACTCTGTCTGCCTGGTAGCTGAGGAATGGAGTACTTGATGAGACCAAAAGATGAAAAGGGCTGCAGAGAGAAAGAAGGCAAAAGTAAAATCAGGATCAACGAAAAGAAGTTAGGTGATTTTTTCGGGGGATTTTTTTTTTGTAGGTGGAAAAACTTCTCTCAAACTGGTGTATGCATACCTGTGCTGGGTTTGAAACACCTGCACCTCCTGAAAATCTGTGGGGATAAATCTTGGAGAAAAAAAAACATAAATGTTGTACTGTAATCATGATTCATAGCCACTGTTAGAGCCAAATGTAATAAATAATGATGCTGATCTGAAAACGTGTATAAACCTGAGTAATAAATAAGAGTCTGACATACCAGTTCCACACTGTAACCACCAGGTAGTCCAGTGTGTGGAAAACCAGCCGTATAGGGATTGTTCATCTGAATACATGCAAATTTTGAAGACTTCAGTATACAGCAATATTTTGTGTAGGTGTTTGCAGTATTTTGAACCTGTATATAGAATATACACAGAAGATATAGAGAAGATAAACTATGCAGTATGCATAATTACCTGTAAAGTTGACATCTGTTGCCTAGATCCAGTGTAATGAGGCAAGTACTGAAACTAAAGGCATAAACAGAAGTTAAACTTTAAGTATTGGACAGGTTTCAACTCCATGAAATTAATGGTTGGATTTTACTTAACACTCACTGGTGCAGCACAGGCTGTGCTAGCCAAACAGAGGCACAAGAGAGCCAGCTTCATGTTTATCCTACAGACATAAAACAAATCATTCCAAGTTGTGAAACTTCCACCACAGTCACACTGGATGGTTGCTTCCTTCTGGAAAGGCATGCAGGAGCTAATGTTAAAATTTTGCTCAACTCACCGTCTGAAATTTTAAAAATCACCAGAAAAAGAGAAATTATGAATGCTGATGTTGGAGATGATGCCAGCAGGTTGGACTGTGACTTCTGCAGAGTTACTTGGATATTTATACACTGCTTTCTCACCAAAGAGCCAGTCACGGGAGATAGGAGTGGTGTTGCCCAATGACTAGGTAGAGTTTAGGTGTCTAGTCTTCAGCTTTACTAAATGACCAGTGGTCATATCCACTTTCTGTGTAATAGCAGAGTCGTCTGTTTGATTATACCGTCTAGAGCAGAGCACACCTTCACTTTGCTTACTCCTCATTCTGCCATTAGTCTCACTACAATTGCATAAGGTGGCACAAATATCTGAAACTAAAAATTTATGTTAATACAGCATAGATAAATATAATACTATATCCTTTTTTGTTTGTTTGTTTGCTTGTTTTACTCTAAAAATAAATTTGTACTGAAGCAGCACATAGTAGTGAAATCAGAGAACAGCCTTTATTATTTATAATAAATATAATTGCCTGCTGTAGCTATTTGTGGATAGTCAAAAAAGCAAGTCAGTAATAATCTGCAAAATGCTGCATATAATTCATGGACTGAGTATCAGATATTTATTATTTGAAATGTATCTGAAGCAAAGAACCAGAAACAATAGATGAATGAGCGGTTTCATTTATTATGAAGCACAGAAATGAAACATTTAATGTTGCATGTAGAGAGGAAACAATATGCTGCTACATTTATTTTGATATTTTCTTTTGGTCATATTTAACTGCAAACCATCAATTCTTTTTTCATAAGAGGCATGTCATGTTTTTTGACTTTATTCTTCTTTTTCCAAAGAAAGCACCATTTCAAAAAATGCATAGCACCACAGAAAATAGCATTGCTGGCTGGCGATTTTTCACCACAGTAAGCAGATAGTCTTACACCTCTGGTCACCTACAGTGGGGACAAAAGCAAATGAAAGTTTGAGAGACTCAATCCCCTAGAAAAATAACATGTGATCCTTACATATTTATTTATATGAACTACTTTGCTAAAACCTTTATATATGAATATGTGAATTGATACCTGAGTGTGCCAAGAGTGTTTTTTTTCCTGCTGACTAAGTAGTTTTAGTCATCTTCATCTTCATCATCTTTGCCACGCTAAAATGACAGAGGACTTGGGTGAGCCAATCAGGACTGATGATAGTCTCCTACATGTGCATTTATGAGTCACTGTTTTTTCCACAACTCAGCAGAAATAGTTGGGAGGTTTGTCTGACGTGATACTTTTTATTGGAATGAACCGGCTGCCCTCATAACAAATTTCAGTTCAATCCAACTCCACTTTATTGCCTGTCAAAGTCTATTGAAGCTATTACTGCACTAAACTGCATATTGCCAGCATCAAATCATGACAGAGGCTTATTGTTTGTTAAATAGATTTAAATGCGATAGTCTTTCTTACTGGGGGAGGTGCAACGACGACAGGATTCAGAGGTTCCACAGGAATGGCAGGATCAGCAAGAGCAACAGGGGCAGCTGGGGCAGCTGGGGCAGCTGGAGCAACTGGAGCAGCTGGGGCAACTGGAGCAGCTGGGTCAGCTGCAGCTGGGTCAGCTGCAGCTGGATTAGGCAGGTTGAAGCCGAAGGGGTAGAACTACAAAAAGTAAAATAAATTGTGAATTCAATAAAATATCTGAAAAACCTTTGCCAGAGAAAATATGTTCTGCAGACACCTACCACCTCCTTGGTACCTATGCCATTCGGATTTGGAATCTCGTGCTTGATAAAGCCGTGGACCTTTCAATGAAAACAGACTTAGAAGCTCATAATTGCACTGGAATCTGTAATACTTCTGATTTGTGGTTCTTCTTTGATTAAAATGCCAAAGTCTGTAGAATTAACTCTTTTTATCAGATAGCATTTAGATTTCTATTCCATTTCCATTCTTTGGATCAAAGTCTGCAAATTACACTCTCAATAGGTAAATATATATATATATATATGAACTGTGCTACTCACAGGTCCTCCAAGAGGGTGTCTTTGGGCATCAACAGGGAGCAACTGGAAGCATTAAAACAACAAAGTAAAGAAATAATCACCAGATGCACAGAAAAGTTCTGAAAAGGTGCAAAACAATGATTGAACTCTTACAACTTCCAGATTGTCAAGTGGGACTCCAGCAGGGATAACCTGGGCCGCCTGAAATACAGTATTAATCATATATTAATACTTAACAGGGACACAATCTTATGAGAAAAGTCAGCCGTGTTGGAGAAAAGCAGTTCAGCTATGAAGACATCAGTGGTGAACAAATGATGACAGACAACCATGCAGAGTTTGAAAATCGGGCTTTTACTGTGGTTAATGTGTGTGGGTGTCATGATATCCACCAGCTGATCCAAGCTGCTTCTTATTGTACCTGAGGTGGAGCGTAATGGATGTCAAACTCCTCAAATATCTGCAGCTGTAAAGAAGAGAATAAAATTCAGTGTAATGCAGGTCAGTGTAACATGTTCAGACAATTATTGAATGTTGTTTTACTGATTAATGGTAAAGACAAAAACAGACACCATAAACAGATAACAATGACCAAAAAATTCCATCTGCTAAAAAAACCCAAAGGTGAGTATTAAAGCTCTGTAGGTGATATTTCTCTAAAATACTGAAGATGAATGTTGTATGTTAATCGTTACATGTGAAAGAAAAAGAAAGGGAAAATAGATATTTTTGCCGAAATGTAAGTATTTTTCTTACAGGAGCAGAGATGGCCATCCCAAGGATGCAGGCAGCAAGCACGATAAATTTCATTTTGAAACTTGCTGTGACAGAAAGAGAATTTTGAGTTATTACATCTGGTAGTTTTTAGTGCACGTCTTTTAAAAAAGCATTCAAATTTAAAATGTCTTTTGCAGTTTCATGTGATATTAGCAGGATCTACATTACCTTTCTTCCCTGGCTGCACGTGAGCACTGGAGGATTGTTGAAGAGAGGTGTGATTAGAGGAGAGTGAGATCGCCTATTTATTTGCTGAGAGAAACAAAGGGCGAACAAACTTTTGACAGGTATTGATGGTAAGCCAAACGTTTTTTCTTTTGTATGATTACAAACCTGGCAGCTGCATCTCTGGGAAATCTCTTAATACATTTTTTGGCTTGAAAAGCACATCTATCACATTCCTCTGCAATGTGTCTTATCAGGTGCCCCCTTGCAACATCTCAAACTCAAAAAGGGCAACAGGGTTATTCGGGAGTAGGAGTTGGAATTCAAAAGAGTGCTTCCTTACTTACTCCTGTGTGTTTGTCCTAATAGAAAATATGATGCTTTATACCTGATGATGTTTAGAGGATAAATGCTTTACCAACAGCAGTATTTCGAGGCCTGTTAAAACCTACAAATGATCATGTATACTTGTAAAACTGAATGTCTTTTTCAATGTATTGGGTAGAACTTTAAATTTACAACAGTTTTAGGGACATTCACTGCACATTGTATCTGAGCCTGCGTGGATATGTCAGAGGTGTGATGACAATCTATAATCTGGGATAAATATGCTTCAGGATGATGATTAGATAAATACTGTGCACACTCTCTTACATTATGGTTTTAAAATGTATTTAATTGAAGGTTATGAAAGACAGTAACATGGAAAGACAAAACAGTTCAGGCCCAGCCTTATTTGTTTTCCTTTTTTATTTGACATTTATTTATTTATTTATTTTTTTAAAGTAAAATAATAATAAATGAAATTAAATAGCAACGGTTAGTAATATCCTTGAGAAGCTCCACTGAATAGTTGTTAGTACCCATCAATAATGCTTTTTGTTTTCTCTGTATGTTGTGGGTTATCTCCACTGGTGACAACAGTCTCAGACAAGGGTTTCCTGCATGGGCTGAAGCTGGGGTTCAGCAGGTGTTTGGGCAGTGGCAGCATCCGACCCAGCTAAACCTGTAGAGAACCCGCTAGCATTTGGCTGTGATCCAGAGCACGGCAGTGCCTTTATCGGTTGAGCTCCAGCAGCTGAGGTCCCCACAGCTGGCTGAACGCCTTGTTGTTCTGGGTGTGTGAGTCCTGCGGCCTGGCTCTCGGGCTGAACAGCTCCCGCAGGCTGGTTTGTAAGCACATTAGGCATGTACACCCCCATTTGGCCCATTGTAGCAGCCATCTGAAACAGTAAACAGAGATAAGATACTGTAAAGAGGCAAGGGAGGGGCAGTGTTAGTGGGATCACTGAGTTCACTAAACAGACTGTTTGAACAAGCTGGAAGAAGAAAAAAAATCTTGGCTGTGTTACCTGAAGTTCCTCAGAGCTAAGACTGCCAAGAGGAGAGCTCTGGTAAGGAATTACAACATATGTCAAGTGAAATGTTCTCAGAAAGAAAATTGTGAAATTGCAAATAGCATTAATCATCTAAGTCTGCAGAGGGTGTTATATATTTACCACTGGTTGCTGTAGCATGTATACAATCTGGGGATTCTGTGGATGAGAATTCGGTTAGATAATTGTAACTCTTTTTTTTCTTTTTTTGCCTTATTCTGCATTATGTATATGCAGAGACACCTGTTGTTGCAGCTGCTGCTGTGGCTGCTGTATTCCCTGAGTTGCATCTATTGAAGGAGCAACTGCAACTCCTGCAGCGTTTTCTGCAGGTAACACTGGACTGTTGGGAAGCTGATTTGCTGGAATTTGTGGGAGAGCCGATTCTAGAATCATTGGGTAACCATATGGGCTGAACTGATGGAGAGAAGATACAATAAAACAAAACAACACATATCAACAATTTCTGCACCAACACCACAAGTTACAACTCCAATATTAACTCCTTACTCCAAAAGCCAAAATACCAATGTCTTTATTTTCATAATACTGTGTCTTATGAAAGGGTTTTAGGGTGTTTCCTGTTTCCAGCAAGCGTATCTCTTAGCTTACCAGCTGATTCCCATAGGGTGAGGAGAACAGCGGTAAGTATCCATAAGGTGGGAAAATCTGAAAAGAGCAGCAATACACATTTTTAAAGGGAGAAAATAATTTCAAATAAGAGTTAATATTCTGTTTTCTTAGCTCCCCCCGCCTCCTCCTACTAGAGGCTGCTGTGGCAGTGTCAGCTGGTGGGGTCCATAGAAGCGTGGCTGCATGGGCATGCCCCCTTGTGGATACCAGGGGTACTGTTGCAGTGAAGGAATGGGCTGTGGATCAGGCTGCTGTAGACCTCCTGCCTGTGGCTGAACACTGGGAGAAACAGAGGCTGGCGTAGGAGATTCGGGTTTCTGGTTTGCGGCTACAACGTGCTGAGCACCTTGAGTTGCTCTTTCCCTTCCTTGTAACAGCAGGGGACGACGGACATTTGAATTGACCTGAAAAAGAAAGAAAGAAAGAAGATGGTAAAATTATCACAGAGTCACAGAGTTCATAGAATGTCAAATGTTAATTAAATGACAACCAGTATTAAATGAATAAACATAAAATTATATAATTATATCAAGTATTGTATTTTAAACCATATTCTATGAGTCTACTTACTGGTACTGCAGAGACTTCTATGGTAAAGCATAACAGCAGCGTTATGATAATCATTTCCAAAAAGAGAACAAAATCGATATGGTTTTTAATCAGTTCCATTGGATCAGTGGGTGCTTTAAGGACTATCTCCGTGGAGCACTCAGGAGTAAATTCATTGAAACTGTATGGAGGGGTCCTTCAACTTATGCACTGCTCACAAACTGGATCAGCCAATCACATGGCAGACTGAAGAAAGATAAATTCAACCTAATCATCTGCTGAATGAAGCAGGGAGGTGGAAACCAAAGAAAATCTAATAAGTGTCCTAAACGGCATGTTTTTCTTCAATTATGATGGTGTAATGTCTCTTGAAATAATTAAACAAACGCATGAGAGTTGAGGCCTTGTGGTTTTCCTGCTACTACGGGCACCTACGGGTGTGGCTGATGTGGCTGATGTGTCAGTGTCTCGCTTTTGTAATTGCAGTATGGTTAAACCAAGAATGTGTGATGTGCAAAAAAAGAATCTTAAAAAGCAGACATGAAAAATAGCTGAAGTTGCAACAGATAGAAAAATGAACACTTGATAAGTTAATGTAAGACATAAAAAATGACAAACTACACATTAATGACATATATGTTGATTCAAATATTAAAATTAATTTGAAGATGAGCTCAAATGCTTAACTTAGCACTAAATGTATTTGAAATGTGAGAGAAAATTGAAGAGCAAGTAATTATATTATGTATAAATTCTGTCCAGCTTGACTTTTAGTTGTTCTGTTTAAAAAAAAATTCCGTTGTCGATCACCTTGAATCAACCTTCTTTAATCAAACACTCAATAACAAATAACAAAATAAAGGAAACACAGATAATACGTATGACCACACATTTTTTTTACATTTGATAAAGTAATATCTTTCCATCATTTTAAACTGACACAACATTTTGTTTGCAACATCATACGCTAAAACAGCATACATAAAAATTACTGACAAGTGGCAATTTGGGTACAGGATCCAAATAATAATAATATATTGTTATTAGTAATAGCAGTATCTGTCTAACTATGTAGATAGATCGATAGATACATAGATCAATAGATAGATCAATAGATAGATAGATAGATTAAAAAGTGCAGTATGCCACAACAAGGTTCTCTTTTCAAATTATAATTTATTCTGAAAAAAAATCATCAAAGCATCAAATACAACAATTATGAAAAAATACATATAATTCAGTGCATACTTTAAAAGTTGGTTGCCAGCTGGTTTACAAAATTAATCAAGTTTGCAAATTAGGCAGACATCCACAAAAAAGGAGATTACATTTATAATGCACATTCATGCACACATCACATCAAAGAGAAAGTAAGAGACCATACTAGCTGTGTTAAAAGGGTGTATGCTAATGACAATCTTAATTTCTTTTTTTTGTCAAATCAGCGGAGCAAGCAGTGCTGTGCAATCAGTGAATGTATTGCTGAAGAGGGTGTGTGAAGAAGAAATAAAGCAGTACTAACTCATGAAGCACAGAGCCATGCATTAACAGCTCAGCAATCATCCCACACTTAAGCTGTGTTGATCTAGTGTTGGTGTTGTGTGTACCCGCTGACTGGATATTACGCATGCATGTCGTCAGCATCCCTCCTACTAATGTCTGGAAGCCTAGTCTCTAACAAAACTCATCATTACCTTGCTGACTGAATGCCTCTCTAAATTTTAAATGTTTCAAATCACAGTGCAACGTATAACCTCACTGATTATATAAGTTTTTTTTTTAATTAAACAAAACATTCAAATAAGTAGGATCAACAAAACATATATAACATTGTAAAGGGAGGTTGAAGGATGCTGCAATACTGAAATGTGAAAATATGCAAACACAGTATGCAATATTTTTGAATGCCAATAAAATTTGGTTCATTTCTGGCTTCAAGGTAACAAAATGTAAAAAAAACAGACATAATTCTCACAGCATCAGTTTCCCTATTATTGTGCAGCTTTGTGCTGCTTATGTTGGAAAGTTAAAACCAAAGTAGTATCAGCTACTTTTTTTTTTCAGATCAATGCTATTCACCTATTGTCTCCCCTCGGGGCTGTAGTGGTAGACATGATTGTAGTCCTGGAAGTCTGTGTTGTGGTTGACGTTGATGGCTGAATAGGTGGTTGCACACATAGAATCGGAAACAGAGTACAGATATTGAATGAAGGTCTAATCCAGGGGTGTTGGCCACTCTGCAAAAGCATTGAAAAAAATTTATATTACTGTGTTCTTTACAAACAATTATGGCATTATTTATGTCTTACCTCACTACTGTCAGACCCACTGCTGCATGAATGATGACGCCTCTACAAAAACATAAATAATGTATTTGTTTTAAATATTAACAGAAAGTGTTTTGATAAGGGATAAAAATTGACAATATCAAATAAAACTATTTAGACATTTTTGTACTTACAGCAACAGAGCAATTGACCAAGTATAAAATCATGAGAAGAAAGACTTTCATCTTGCAGTTCAGAGTGTAATTCAGTTCCCTTGATAGTTAGAGCTCGCACACTAGAGTATGACAGTAAACAGCACAATAATGAATAAAATCAAGCTCCTGCAGTCTATCTCCAAGACAGTCCTTGGCTTTTAAATAGACTCTGTGCCCACACTGATCTCCCACGCTAAATGTTACTTCACCTCAGATGTGGTCAGTTCTCATGGCCGCCTCCAGAGGCGAAACCAAACTAGGTGTGAACACAATTTCATTAGCAGACTAGATTGTGTTTTCACAACATTAAAGGCCTGCATCCTGTTTATCATGCTGAGAAGCTTTGAGTTTTTAATCCCATACACATACAGACACACACATACTGTAAGATTAAAATTTATATTCATATTTCCAATCTAAGTAAAATTCAGAGCATCACCATGTTAAAACATGTTCTAGTTATATGGATATATATGGAAGCAAATATGTATATAACACAAATAAGCAGTTGCTGTCGAATGCAGGGATGATTGATAAGTGGTTAGGCATTATATACTTGCAAAACTGTTGCCTAGAGCTGTATTTCCAACCTGCAAAACAATACTTGCTCAATCTTTTCCAAATACTATAATCATCTTGTTGACATGTGGTGAACCTTGTTTTATTTCCTCTACTGTCATTAATGTTAGGTTGATTTTGATAATAGTTGTCATTGTTGTACTTAAACTGCATGTTCAGATATTCTCCTCCCCCACATGTTGGATGCTATAATGTTTAATTGCAGCCACATTCCATCTAAAGGTTCTGGTTTCCTTAACTGGTAAAGGATGTTCCCTCCTCTCCATTTAGGGGTTCGCCTATGCTTGTATATGGTGAACCATTAAAGTTAACCCATATACGGGTGTGGGGAGATGACCTGTGGATAACTAGGAAATGTGGTTAAACGGTTGTAAGCATATATTGTGTGGCAGGAAGTCACATATAGAGAGACACACACACACACACTTGCTCGCACATGCATGCACACACACACAGTGCCTTAGCTTTTATGGCACACTACATGGGTTTTACATTGTGTAACCAGTTTAAACCAGTTTGACAGTGTTTGTGTAACCCACGGTAGTCAATAAAAGAGCCTGCAAGGGGAGTCAGTTTGAAATTGGCTGAACATCTTGCCGGACTTCCCTTGCTTGCAAGTGAGAACCGTACAGAGTGTCTTGCTTTTGTTTACAGTGACGAACCTCTGCACCAGCGAGGTCTGACATTAGACCTAACAATTAAATTTTAAACCTTGCAAATGTCTGTGAGAGACTTTATTTTTGACAGTGATGTTAAAATATATGAGTGTTTCTTGGAGTTGGAAAACTAACTTGAAAGATCACTTAGGATGTGTTGCTTCATGTGTTACAATAAACTGTCATTACTCCAAAACAAAACAAGGTGCTAGCACTATCCTCCTGCTATATGTTTTCTTTTTTCTTTCTATATTTTTTCTTCTTGCAAAAAAGCATTAGAGTCAGACCATTTATCCACATCCCATTTATAATGCTGAAAGACTTAGATTTACTTATCTTTTCAAATAAAGTGGTTTTCATTTCAAAGACCTACTTGTTACGAACACTGCAAATAGTAAGTTGATCTTCTTGTTTTTTAAATGTTTCTGATGGAAGAAAATATTTCCAAAATGCTGTGTGTCACATAACTAAAGGATGGACTTTCTCCTCCAATAAACTGCCATAGATCTTCTTTGGGAGACTGAGGAGTGTGATCCTCCCCTTGAAGCACACCCTAAAGTTCCCTTTCTTGAAGAGGGGAAACTTCACCCCAGTCTGCCAATCCAGAGGACTTACTTCAATGCAATATTAAAGAGGTGTGTCAAACTAGAAAACCTCACAACATCCAGACCCTTGAGAAATTCATGAAAAAGCTCATCCACCAACCAAGTGTTTGACCTTCTAGGGTCAACAGACTGAAAGTAGAGGTAGTTTCTATTGAAATAATTAACAACTTCACAGTAAAGTGACGCTTTCTCTCTACTGAGTCAGTGTAGCTCACTCAGCCATCTCTTTGTTTTACTCACTCCTTCTCTTTTGGTAGACTCATCATCCAATAAGACTATATTTATTCAACTGCACTTTAGATCTCAATGTTTAAGTGAACAGATAGCCTATAATGGTTTTCATAATCCACAGTGAAAATAATAGTGAGGCATTAGGTATTTAGTTTATTTTTATTTTTATACTTCTTTTATGTGCTTGCTTACAATAAAAAGACACTATTGTATTAAAAATATAAATTTAGTAATTGCAATATCCAGCCCAATTTACTGCTGCTACCGGTCAAACATTTTAGAACACCACAATTTTTCCAGCTATTTATTGCAATTCAAGTCATTCAAGTCGATGGATAGCTTGAAATGGTATAAAGGTAAGTGGTGAACTGTTAGAGGTTAAAAAAAGTTACCCAAAACTTAACAATAATGTACATTTCAGAATTATACAAAAAGGCCTTTTTCAGGGAACACAAAATGGGTTAACAATTTAAAGCTGTTCTGAGGCAATGGAGGTTGATCAAGCCTTGAAAGCTGTTGCTA